AGTTAGTGGTAGATGTGTGCCATGTTTTATACCTAATCGGACGGGCAGTACAAACGTATAGTAAGAGGTCTTATACTTAACGATTGTCTCGTATCGGCTTTTCGTGAATAAGTCAAATCGTGGGCCACTGTTGTTGGGATTGGAGGCCATATCCATGTGCTGTCCATACGTGGTATACCTCATCATCTCATGGAATGTCTCCATTATATTCAGATACGACTTCTTGTGTCCGAAGAATAGCTTCAATGTATGGAAGCACTCATTCTTCAGGATTATGCCATCGTTTAGCGCTTTGAGGCCTACATCATCCTAATGGGCACAGGGATGTCAGTCTAGAACTATAGATAACTTTATAATATAGCTGTACCTGCTTATACCAGCATGGTCGACCCCGTCTGGTGCTGGACTGATCCATGATGTCATCATAAATGAGTGAAAACGCATGCATTATCTCAACACTCGCCCCAAGAATTTGTGTCAATTCTATGTCCTCTTTGGTGGTCTCAATGCCCTTGTGTTTGGCTAACAGTATGGCTGTCTTCACCGCAAACAGGGCTCGGATACCCTTCCCGTGTCCGACATTATAACTGAAGATCTTCTTGAGTCTGTCCCTCACGTCCACTAAACCCTTGTTTGACGCGTCGATTGAGATTTTGTCGAGAATTACACGATATGTTGACTCCAATGACTCCAACACTTTGTTTTCCATTTAAACCATATATTAATATATTAGAAATTATTTGTAGTATTTATGAATTAATTTAACAAATGTAGCTTATATAAATTTGGGGTCAATCTTTTTTATATCCAATGTTACAATACAAACAAATTTCTTTGAAAACCAACTTATGCTGAAGGGATTCCAAATAATGTTTGATTTGACTTTGTTTAGGATATCCTTGGTGGTACTGTCATTATGGAAGTTTAATAAACCTTTATTCGCATCCTTGAACTTATTATATAAGCATTTTTACAATATCTTTTAATTATAGACAAATGACTCCTTTTTGTGCAAAAAATTATAAAATCATTAATATAATTCATTGGAAATTCACTTTAATTATATCACAATACTTTTGTATGGTATTAACATTTTATAACATTTAATAAATAATATATTTTATATAGTTAGTGATTTAATTTATTGAGTATATTTACGTGGTGTGCTAAAATTTTCCACACCTGGAGACTTATAGTTTTTATGATAGGGCAGGTATCTCATAGACTGCCAGCATCTTGCAACTAGTTGTCTTTTCTTTGGAAAACTTGAAGATTTTGAATTTACAAAGATAATATATTTTCAGATTATTTTTAATTTTTATTGTTTAGGAATAAATGATCTAGCACAAATATACAGATCAAGAAAAAATATATACCGTGTTTTGGCACGATGATGATCATATTTTCATATTGAAATATATATTTAATACACTACTGGATATGTATTTAGAAATTTTTTAAAAAGCTTAAATTTTATTAATTGTCTTGATATATAAGTTAGTTAATTTTATAATTATTTATTTAAATTTGTTTATTTAATATTTATAAATCAAAGCTAAAAGTTTCATTTACAAATAGTTTTAATATATACATAGAATATATAATGTATATATTTGTCTTTTTTTAAAATTTAAATATAATATAAATCTGTAATTGTTTTTTAATGCTGCTTACATTTCTTATTTAATTGAGATTATGATATTTTTGATAATTTTTGCTGCATATTAATTTAACATAAATACATCTATAAACAAAAAATTAAATCTTTTATTAATGATATAAAATATTTTATTAAATATTATAAAATATTAATATAATACAGTAATATTTTGATATAAGGAAAGTGGATTTCAAAAGAATTAACCATAAATTCCTTGAACTCCATGTTATTCATGAGAAACATATCATAACAATAGAAACCAATGTCTTTGGCCGACACTCTCTCTAAGAATGACTGCATTTTGAGTCTATTTTTCACTGAAATTCGCTTATTTTTTGCAGATATATATGAATTCATAATTGAGTGACACTTATAGGCGTATGTATTAACACGAGTGCACAACATGTTTGCTAATACAACCCCACCAAAAATTAAAGTAAATATAATTGCCACAATACACCTATTGACCAAGGTGGACTCTTTTGCAAATATCAGAAATAATAAGACTTCAAACCCTGGACTCGTCACGTAATATAAAATGTATAAAATATATTTGAAAAACTGATTAAATTTATGTGTAATCACTGTTAATGAATTGAATTCGTGAATAGCATTAACAAATAACTTTTCGTTTTGACCGCGAAATGCTTTATAAAGTTTTTCATTCACTTCTATGTATTTATACTTTAAATATGTTGTGGTTATGTAAAACAATATAATACCAAACGATACTATGCTAGCGAGTTGTTCATTAACTACTAATAGACAAAAGTGCCATAATATTACACCAATTAATGAAAATCCAGACATAGGGTCCATGTATGACCTAATTGCCACAACTGTAAATAAACCACCTTGAACCAAAATTATATTCCAAAACGAGCGATTTAAGTAATATTTGATTAGTATATTGAATCGAAACATGAGTTTCTTATAATGACTTTTATTTAATCGAGGATTGAGTCGATTGTATTTAATATTAGTAAAGAATTCACATATATATGAAGTTTGATATAACTGCTGATAATCAAATGTTCCCGCTATCATAAACATTGCGATACTCAAGACAAAAAAGAAAATTGTTACTAAAAATGGATTACCTAGCAAATAGCTGAAATCGCACAATAGGTGTTTCATAAATATACTTTTCTTAAATATGATGGACAGGGCGTACCTAATAGTCAATATAAATGTGATAATTCTTACGATAATCACAGCTATTATACGTGGTTTTCGGTTAATATTATCCATGTATTCGTCAAAGCTATAGCTAAATACAAGTGTTTTTGTGAGAAATATTTGATATTTATTGACAACTACCGATGGGTCAATATTACCCTGAGTAAACTTATTGAATTTATTTCTCATGATGCGTTTAATAAACTTCATGATATTTACTACAAGGTAATGTACAAGGTAATGTTATTTATCTATTTATTAATTGGACATTAGACTTGACTATAAAGTTCCATGAACCATATTCATATATTTCTAAAGATACTGCCACATATTTGAGCAAACTATTAAAGTAAAACTGATATAAATTAGGAAATTATGAATTACTGTCTATTTCAATATAAAGATGATGTCAAACTCGATAACTTATGTTTAGATTAATAATTTTTAGAATTACCATAAAAATATATGAAGTTTATAATGAAAATTAATTTAAAAATTATTATTCTAACTGAAACGGTTAATGAATTAGACTGGCTTTTATTCTTATATTTCAAAGCTATATAAAAAGAAAACCACATGAGATTTTTAATTAGTTTCTTCACTATATTATATATTGATATGAAACTTGTTAATTCTATTAGGAAATATTTTTAAAAACATTTAACTTCTACCTGAAAATGATGTTTAAAAAGTATAAATATGAATTCAATGGTATTGCCATAAGAATCTCAAGAGTATGAAAACTTATTTTAATGGCTTTATTAATCTACTTTATGATAATGAAGAGAAACTCTTGAGATTCGAATGGCAATATGGTGATTTTTGAAATAATAAAAATTATGACATGTACAATTTTTCAAAACTTGAACTTATACCATAGATGAATTCCCCATCAAAAAATAATTTTGAGAAAATTAAATCCATAAATTACGTTTCTAACAAGTACGTTATTTTTGGTTGGGAATAATTTTAAATAGCATTATTTTTAATGCTGATACTAAAAATAACAATTTAAAATTTTTCTGCCCATAAATAACAAAGTTATGGCATGACGTAATTGATGGATTCTGAAAATTGACACTTTATTTTTCGACCGGGAATTGATTTAGTGGGCTAGTAAAAAGTTGAAAAAATAGCTGAAAGTTAGTCAGAAAATATACGACAAATTGTAAGAAATTGTAGAATTTTTAAATATAAATAACTTTTTAACTATTGAAGTTACAAAAATAAATTTTGTATATTTAGATATAATTTAATAAGCTTGTTTTATTTTGTTAATTTGACCAAATTATATTGACATTTAGTAAACTATGGACATTAACTTTATTTCAATATAAGGAAAGTTTGCACTATTTCAAATTATCAATTACAATGATTTCTTTATATTTCTACACTTTTTATAAATAACAATGAATTTCCGATGATACTTTAGTCAAATGATTTTAATATTTTCCTCATATATCTACAATATTTTTACTATTATACTAATATACAATATATGATATAAAAATTTTACAATTTTTAATGTGCCAATAATACAATTTATTGTGTAATTAATTTACAACATTATAACAAGTGAATATTGTAAATCTTATTGATGACTCATCACATGTGGACGTAAATTATAATTTTAAAAAATTATACAGAAATTCAGGTTTGTAGCTAATATTGGTGTACAAGTGTTAAAGGTACCCGAGCACTGGCCTCTCTTTAAATGTTTATTCACTTTGGTTTTGGTGACATTGAAGTGATCTTGAGCTTTATGTATTGGACTCGCATTTGTATTTTAGGCACACATTTGGTGATTGCCTTCAATAGATAGCTCGAGTGATAAAGTCTGCAGACATTTACATCGCAATCAAAGTGTCTGACATAAGGCCTCCACTTTCAACGAGTTTCACAAATATTTTGCTACAAAAGTTTTTTTTTAAAAATTAAGCGTTAAATAAACTGTTAAACTAAAAGTGAAATGTTAGTTTTATATAATCTAGGTTATAATACTGTATTATATTATGTATTGTAGTTATATAGTATATATTGTAGTTTAAAAATATTAGTTAACTTTATTCGTGACATTGGATTTATTGTAAAATATAATTTTGTGATCAATGAACTTTCTAAGTGATATTTATTTTTAAAAATATAAATAATCTCACATATAAAAATATGAAATTATCATTTCTTATCAAACACCATGTCAAGGTATTGATCAATGTTAATATAATTTGGTGAAATTAACAAAATAAAATAAGCTTATT